AACTAGCTTTTAAAAGGATACTGTAATTACTTTTGCAGAGTGCACTCATACCTTGCAGCAAATTTTCTAGATCCTTGAAGGCTGGGCCTTTCATTTGACGCAAGAAAATAAAAACTTTGTAGTCAGTACAGCTATATCATCCCGGGAGGTTTGAAAACAAGGGCTGAGGAAGTGAAGAAAGCTTAAGCAGTTGCAAAAGACAAATGTTTTCTTGCATAGAAATCTGGGAAGACTGAGGTATCAAAATAGAGAAGTTATAAAAGATGACAAGAAGAGTACTTTATCTCTGTATTACGTGCGGTGACTTTAGACACCACCTGTTAGCAACTTGTACGATGCCAAGGTTAGTCTGCATTTAAAGAAAATGTGAACTAAGTTTTGAAAGATCACCCAAAATTCAGTATGTTTTTGAACAATGCATAACAAATAATTGCCAAAAATGTAGCATTACACTACTTTGTTAGTTACACCTTTGAGTTTAATTATGATAATAATGTAGGCATAATCCGCATAAATCAAACACTACCTACCAACCCGAGGTGTAATGGTGTTTATTATACTTTCGCATGGAACCAGAACTGGCAGTGTTGCAAAGGGCCCATGTAATTTCTCAGCAATGTGCTGCAAACAGATTATAAACTGTTCATTGATCATTCACAACCCTACAGCTAGCGTAGCATTCCCTGTCTAGTGCGCCTCGTACCCCATCATGATTCCTTTTTCTTACGCGAACATGCATTGTGTGTAAAAAGGAATGCCGATGAGGGTGAATTTTTGAACACTACGCGCAACTTAGCTGTAGCAGGTTATTCACTTCACTCACAGGACATTTGTCAGTTATTTGACACGTAAAGAATGTAAGCTCAAACCACTAACAAATCCAGATTGCAGTTTTGATGTACTCACTGCAGTCTTTGCCACAGTAACTGTAGTATTGGCAACATGATGTTCACTCTGGGCACTCCATCGCAAAGATTCACACATACCTCCACCAAAATACATCTTATTTCTGCGGTAAAGCCTCAATAAATGCGTGCGTACTTTTTTTATTATTTTATAGCTTTCGATAAACACTCGAAGCTGTTAGTTTTAGTATAATGTTCTTTTAAACGCGAAGCATTTCTTAGCGAACTTGGCGACTTTGAGCGTATCTATCTATCTATCTATCTATCTATCTATCTATCTATCTATCTATCTATCTATCTATCTATCTATCTATCTATCTATCTATCCAGCCGCCTATGACTTTTAGCTCTTCTGCCCGTTTCAATAATGGTATCAATACCAAACTTGGTATCGCATAACATGACTGCGTGAAAAACATATTTGACTAGTCATAACATAAAAATCATGACATCTATGTCATGAATGTCACGATTTACATGTCATGGTCCTGCAGCTCTGGCGGTGCTTTCGTTCACATGGCATGTTGCAAAATTGGTATGGTATCACATTATTGCATGGTGAGCACAAGCGTCAGACCCTAACATGAAAATTATGACATGCGTGTCATGTAACAATATGACTACATGCCAAGCTCATGATGCGCTCCCGGCCGTTTCGCTAGCGTCACACATAGGAAATTTGATATTACGGTACGCGAATGAATGATGAAGGTTTGTGACTGGTGCCAACAAGATAATCACGACATGCGTGTCATGTACGGACATGACTACATGCCACACTCATGATGCGCTCGTGGCCGTTTCGCTAGTTTCACATATGTAAATTTGGTATTACTTGACGCCAATGGATGACGAAGGTATGTGACTGTGCCAAACATGATAATTATGAGATGCGTGTCATGTGAGAACATGGCTACATGCCTCAATCAACGCCCCAATAGATTTAGTCGTGACGCGGTGCGCGTGCTTGCCGGCGTTCGTCTTATCGCGTAGCGCTGACGTTTCCACGCCAGACGCCAGTCTTGCCATATACTCACAGCAGCTCGACGCGCTGCTTTGCTTTGACGCATGCGCGTTTCAGCGCATCCGGTGTCCTGCCGTCACGTAAAGAGGGAGACCCAGTGTTGTCTGGGTAATGCATGAACACGAAATGCAGCATGTCGCCTTTCGCGCTCGTTGCCGTCGGGCCGCGCCTATACGGACGCTGGTCGCACCGGTCGCGTCTTGCGTTAGACTATAGAGTGCTCACGTTTTGCTAACGTAGTGTCACTGTGCCCAACGTGCGCTCCCGTCAACGCTACATTGGAGTACATTTGGACCTTCATGACGCGCTCGCGGCCATTTTGCTAGCTTCACATATAGCTATTTTGGTGTTACGTGACGTCAATGGATGCCGAAATATATGACTGGTGCGAACATCACAATCTTGACACGCGTGTCATGTAAGAACATGACAACATACCACGCTCATAGCGTGCTCGCGGCCGTTTTACTCGCTCCACATACACTAAATTTGGTATCACGTGACGCGAATAGATGACGGAGGCAACCGAAACATACGACCATGATCATCATGAGACGTAAGTCACGTACGGTATCATTTACCTCCACCTCGTAACGTTGTGCTGATGATAAAGTGACCCTTCTCATTCGTGCTTCGCATATAATCTATACCCACTGTGCGTGGGATCTGCCAATTTTTTTGTTATTGTTGTTGTTTATTTATTTCCCTGAAGTGCATATGCACTAAACGCGCTGTACAACAGCAGCAATGGTCATGTTCTCGCTGGGTGGCGTAATAAACAAAGGTGCCCCAGCCCGTGCATCGTTTGCGAACTTGAGTGCACCGACGGTCTCGTAACAAGCATTTTATGGCTCTGTTCGGAACTGCAAAAAAGAACTTACCGAGAACAGCGTCTCGACGTCTTCTTAACCTTCACTCGATACGAATGTCCACTTTTTGGCGACTCCTGCAGTCGTTGAAAATGAACTACCACTGCCGGCGGCAGTGAAGTGCGGCGTCAATAAAAGGATGCTCACAGTTTTTTTCGGCACACTTGAAGCTTCTTCGCGTGCCTGCAAATGACCGGAAGGCGTTTTTCACCACCAACATCGCCTCAGCGAATACAGCACGCTTAATCAGTCTTGCTTGGCAGCCGCCTGCAGCGTCGTCTTGGGTGCAGCCATGTTTTTTGACGAAATTACGCACGAACCATTGAGCGCACAGCTTCCGAGAGCCTTGTAAGGGTTCCTAGCGCAGTGCAATTGGGGGGGGGGGGGGGCGTCTATTTGCTCGCCTTTGTAAACTCGCCGCCGGGCCTGGTCCAGGCTTTCAATTGGCTTCCCAAAGGTTGATACGAGAGTTGCGCCCCCCCCGACCAGTGTGGTAGCGTGTGTTCTTGTATGAGCGTCGAGTTTGCCGCAACAGGACGCGAGGAACAGCTGTATGTAATGTGTGTAAGCATGTGTGCCCCTCCACACCAGGGGCACTCTTATGAGGAGTACAGTTTCATTCGAGCTTATCGCAGTTTTTAATTTAATTCTGATAATATTTAAATAAACACGAACTACCCGCCATGCGTATAACTTCAATAAAAGTGTAAGCATTTCATTATAGGACTTGGGTTCTCAAGTTCTCTGTGCAGTAGGGTTGACGACCTAGGAAACCGCTCGAGACGAAACAACCTTATTATTAGAGGCGTAAAAAAAGAAGGCCCTGAGAATGATGATGAATTTTTGAGAAAAATAAATGACGATATATTTGGCTCCATTCGCAACCAGAAACTGAATTGTATAGAAAGAATACATAGATTGGGAAAGAAATTTCCTGGCAAAGACCGCCCTGTTAATCCTTAGAGTGGCAGACTACCGAGACAAAGTAAAGATACTGAAAAATTGTTTCAAGCTAAAAGGCACTCATATTAACATTAGTGAGGACTACTCAAAACGTGTAACTGAGATACGGAGAAACTTGTAGGTCTCAAGTCTAGAAGAAAGAAAGAAAGGAGCGAAAGTTAAACTGGTTTATGACAAAGTTCTCATCAACAATGTTTTGTACAAATGGAGTGATGATGCCAAGGAGAAGATCAAGTGCAAAGCATCTGCCAAACCCAACCAACAATGACCTGAAAGACAAAAACAGGCCGACTTTAAGATAATCAACTTAAATGCTCGCAGCGTACTGAACAAAAGTCACTTAATAGAAAGTGTAACCTTGGAACATGATCCTTACATATTGGCAATTACCGAGACATGGTTGCACAGTGATGTACATGATGTGGAAGTTACACCGCCAGGTTACGTCTTAATAAGGAAGGACCGAGGTGGGAGAGGAGGCGGGGTAGCACTTATGATTAAAAGAGACATAAAGTATTAAACTTTGCCATATACTGGTGATATTGAAGCCGTATGGGTAAAGATTCGATTGAATCATCACCTTGTGTACATTGGAGTTATGTACAGACCCCCCTGTTCTCCTGCTACGACTGTGACCGACTTAAGATGTTTTATAGATTCTAGTATGCACCAGGACGACAAAATAATTTTGATTCGTGATTTCAACTTACCAGGCATTCAATGGGATTCGCATGATAATGTAGGAAACGAAGTAGCTCATTGTGAACATCTTTTAGACATTGCCTTTTGTTTTAACCTATGCCGAATTGTGTCTAGCTACACACGTGTTTTTAAGGCTGTATCCTCTATTCTCGACCTTGTATTTGTATCTTCACTCCTGGAGGAAAATGTTTAAACATGTGATGTAATCGAGGGCATATCAGATCATCAGATGTTTATGTTTTCCTTGGATATGGCGTCCACTAGGTCGCATAAGGATTACAAAAGTATAGTTCTGAACTTCGCAGCTGCTGATGACTTCTCTGTTTTAGAAAAACATGAAAACTCTTTCGATACTTTTTTTCTCCTGCAAAATTCAAATGCATGTACAAATAGACTATGGGATTATTTCTCGCAGGTGGTCACCGAATGCATTCAATTTTATATTCCAACACGACAAAAAAAGATAGCAAAGAAAAATCCTTGGATAACGCGTGACGTGATCCATGCCAAAAGGCAACTGAAACGAAAACCGAAAGCTCACTCAAAGAATCCTTGCCCTGAAGAGGAGAAAACCATTCACCTTGTGAGCCAGGAATTGAGACGTCTAGTTAAATATTGCAAATATAAATTTTATAATGTTAAACTAAAAAAGTTCTTGCACGAAGCACCCAAAAAGTTCTGGAGATACGTGAATCCAAACACAAAAACCCATCTTGGTGCAGATAAAGAAAACTCACAAGCACGTGCTGAAAGTTTTAATGCCTTTTTTTCGTCAGTATTTACCCACGATGACAGACAAGTACCAACTTTTAATGAGGCTTATGACACACCGGCCATAGAAGGAATAACGATTAGTGAACAAGGAGTATTGAACCTGCTCCTTAAAATCGACAAAAAGAAAAGTGCAGGACCTGACGGAATACCAAATGAATTTTTATATAGGTACGCAGTTTGGGTCTTGAAGTACTTGACAATTAATTTCCAGTCGTCCGTAAGTAGTGGTTGCTTTCGCACTGCTTGGAAGGTTGGTAAGGTCATACCGATACACAAAGGTGGTACTACTAACGACTGCAAAAATTTTCGTCCCAATTCGCTCACAAGCACTTGTTCAAATATTCTCGAGCATATTTCTCCAAGCATCTTTTGGCTTATCTAGATGTTCACAACCTATTATACTCACAGCAACATGAATTTGGAAAAGGCCTATCTACCATTACTCAGCTTGTTGAACTTGTTCATGATCTCTCCTCTGAAATTAACTCGCAAGGTCAGGTTGACATGATACTCTTAGATTTTGCAAAAGCTTTTGATAAGGTGTCCCATGCTAAACTGTTGTTAAAAATAAACACCATCTTTAAAAACCCAAACTTAACGCAGTGGTTTTCCTCCTATTTCTTCAATCGCAAGCAGTATGTTCAAGTCAGCACGAAAAAATCTGCCCTTACCAATGTTATTTCTGAAGTTCCCCAAGGCAGTGTCTTGGGCCCACTACTGTTTTTGATTTTTGTCAACAATTTACCTAAAGATATTACGGTTCCCATAAGGTTTTTGCAGACGATTGCGTAATGTATAAAACAGTCAGGTCTCCTACCGATCAATCAGAACTAAATCTACACCTCCAAAAATACAAAACTGGTGCACCATTTGGCAGATGGATCGAAACGCCGCAAAAACAGTAACGATGACCGTAACTAGGAAAAAACGCCTTCGAAATACGACGTACTCTATAAACGATCATGAGCTTGGCAGAGTAGAACAACACAAATATTTGGGTTTATTAATAACTTCCGATTCACGATAGAATTTGCATGTAGACTCCGTTTGTGCTAAGGCTAACAAAGCGTTGTGGAGACTTCGGAGAAATCTGCACCATGCTAGCCCGGAAATAAAATGCTTGGCTTACAAGGCTCTCCTACGGCCAATTATGGAGTACGCAAAGGTGGTATGGGATCCGTGCAAAACAAGTAATCGCACTAAGCTAGATAGAATACAACGATTAACGTCACGTTTCATATTTAACAAATACCAGCGCAGCCACTCCCCAACTTAGCTTTGCAAGCTGGCCCACCTTGAACCACTAGAACAAAGGACAGAGTATGAAAGACTTAAATTACTCTTTTTAATCATTAAAGAACAATTAAAAATAGACAAATCGAAGTATATGTATATAAAAACTGGGGAAACGTCAAGGCACCGGCATAACATGTACATCCCCCCTCCCAGATCACACAACGATTGTTTTAAGTTCGGTTTCTTTCCGCGGGCGATCAGTGAGTGGAACAGGCTGCCGAATTCCACTGTCTTATCGGAATGTGTACCTTCTTTCTTGAAGGGCCTAAAGGATGTCGTGTACAAAGATGTATAGTTTATATTTTGCTTATTCTATGTCCTCAAGAGCAGAGTGCTTCGGCTATTTCTTGTCATTCATTGTTATGTAAATAGAAGTTGTATAGGGAGTACCTATTTTTTGTATGTATATTGGTTTTTTTCGCCTCTGTTATAGCCGAAATGGGGCTGACAGTATAATAAAATGAAATGAAATGAAATAAAAATGGGTACATTTAACTATACAATATAATAAAGTAATGCTTGTGTTTCCATAAATTTGGTATGGCACGGCTTTGGCTGCAGTATTTAATTATGTGGCGTGCACCCTTAATTGTTGCAATTGTTTCTAGCCCCTTTTAATGTTTTGACTTTATACCTAAGTCCCATTATAGTATGTCAAGCTCACGAACCTCGACTGGCGGAGACTTTCTCTTTTTTACACTTATGCTCACTGTAGGCCTATCAAAAAATAACATGAACATGTTGATTGATTCATCGTAATATAACAATACTTCACACTATGTGCACCATGCCTCATCATTAGAGACATGAACTGGCGATAAATACCTTGACGTTAGGACCGATACATAAATAATTACACAACACTTCTGATGTGTCACAAACTGGAGAACCGCTATTGACATAGGCCTGACAAAGAACGTGTGAAACGGTGGTATATATCACAGTAAGCTTTTCAGAAACGTATTTGGAATGTTTTTTTGTTGCTGCCCCGAAGTTCTTCACACTTTCGTTTAATTTGCTTTCCAACTGAATCAAGAACGTTCACCGGCCATTGCGCTATACTATATAGGCAAGACTTGGAAGTATCGCGATACTTTCTATATTTCAGTTGAGAAAGACGACAAAGCTTCACTGTAGTTACGTGTTAGCTCTTCATCTCCGGACGTTTCAGTTAGTATTTTTGCATTTATACGGGGGACATACAGTTCCCTGCTTGATGAAGTTAATGGAATGAAGGATTCTCCTGCACGCCTACCAGGTATGCTGGCTGCAGTGTCATCTCATTCAAGGAAGCGGAACTTTGTTTCTATTGATAGCGAGGCAATTATCGACAACGCTGCCGAGAGCGCCGACTGTTGCGATGACGAATACGTGACCGTCAATAGCGAAAAAGTAAAGCGGAGGATGCTCAAGGCCTTCCTGGACGCAACTATGAAGTCCCCGCACAGCACATCGAAGTACAAAGTCTTCTTCTCGCCTACGCTGCACTCCATCGACATGATACTGCTGAACAGACAAGTTGAGGCGTTTTAAGGGATGGAGGCACTGTTACCTTACAGTGTAGAGGACATCAGAGTGAATCCCCGGGAAAGTGCTGTCGCGGTGGGACCTCATTCAAACGCCTGCAGTAGATTCTCAAAGCCAGGTCAGCGGTCTAAGTGGAATGAACACTCGGAAGTTAATTCCGCTAAGAAGACGAGAAACTGCATCTCGAATGAAGATCCCTGATTCTCATGAAGCCTACCAATAATAGACCCGAAATCTTACAAATGTGCCGTCTAGGAAAGTCTCTAGGCATGATGATTGACTTGCGTGAAGAGTGATTGTCTTGCGTCAGGTGTAAAAAATTGGCCCCCTATATGCACTTTACACAGCAAATGTCGAAAGACGATAGTCTTGTGCCTGGAGAGAGTGAACAAACGTTTCTTTGATGTTCTGGGCAAGAAAATTGGTGTGATGGTATTCTGGAGGCGCTGCGTTAGAGTGCCTCGAGCGTGCAGCGTAGGCGAACGAGCACATTAAGTCATGTCACACGTGAGACATGAGTGCTATCTGACAGTTATCCTGGAAAACGGATCACGCGGCGTGCGCACCCACCTCTGAGGTGACAAGGTGTAGAACGCAAGGCGACGGGTAGGTGCCACCACCATGTCTTCTAAGCAAAGCGTCTGAAACACTTGCCTTATTGTGCAAGATTTGCATGGTCAGCGCAGCGTGATAAACGCTACGGTCCTTAGAATTACTTATGCATGCCTTTTCTAGTAAAACATACACGTACATAATATTGACGTGTTGGTATGGTGCCTCAGATATGCAGAATGATTTATCTTTATTGACAATTGCACTAGTTCGAACTCTCAACCTTGAGAAATGTTGATGGGCGCTGCGGATGGGGTCGGCCGTTCGGAGTATCGTTTGGCCACTTTGGTGTCGTTTAGGTTACCGATAAGAGCAGATAAACAGAAAAAAATGTACAGACATACAGACAGCAGACCAAAATGTTTACGTCGAAAGTCCCCAAAAAGACTATCGTCTTTAAAACGGGTTGTATCCAACATGCTGTGTGGCCCTTTGTTTCTAAGCCACTTCAGTACCGGGGATGTCAGAAATTAGGACATGTGAGCCTAATCTGAGGAAATTCTACAGCATATTCCTATTGTGGTGCACCACATTCGTACATTTCTAACACGGTGGCAGATATAGCATTAAAATCCCCAGTGAACATGCAGTGACCAGGTGTCACTGCAAAGATATCATGCAGTATTTTCCTGTCGAATTGAGCAGATGGAGAGATGCAAGTGGCAATAAGTAACGAGCAACAACCCTTATCTGTTATTTAACGAAAACAAGGCAACTGTTTCAAGAGATAAGCATTGCTGATGAAAATAAGATGACCCAGTACATCCATCGCTATCCTTTTTCAAAGTGCAAAAAACATAATGCGCTTAAATGCAGCTAACGTTTACTGCGTTAAAATGCACTCACATTTCAAATTAAAAAAAATCACAGCACATCCACGGAGTAAATGACGATGAGTGAGGCGAAGCGGCCGTGAGTCAGTCCATGCTTCCATCCGTTCGTTCGTTCTTGCTTTCATCCATCCATGCGTCTGTCCGTGCGTCCATTCGTTCGTGTGTCTCTCTGTCCGTCAGTCCATCAGTCCGTACGCCCGTCCGTGCGTTCGTCCATCCTGCCCATTCTTCAGTCCATCTGTGTGTTCGACCGTCCATCCGTATATCTGTCTGTCTGTATTTCTGTCCGTTCATCCACTAGTGAACACTCCAAGTACCGCGATCTTGCATCTTTGCATGGTATATTCATCATATACAAGTAGCGCCACTCAGTGGACATTTGAAGACTATACAAGAGGTGGCTGCTTCTACATACTACGAACACGTGACGTGCTGGCCATGGCGTAAAGAGCTTCGCCCTTAAAACTCCATTTCGCTGGATTCCCACTGCACGTAGTAAATGGATCAGTCTCGGTAATTCTTGTGCGGTGCTTTAATAGAAGACCATTAAAGCACTATTGACCCACGTTCGTCCAACAAAAGATGTAGAAAAAAATTCGGCAGGTCCCACGTACTTGGGAGTCGACATTATGCGAAGCATGCGGAGGTAAGGTCACTGTGTTGCAATTTTTTACTGAACGATACGTTATGAAATGATGCTAAATGTATGTACAAATGTTGTATGCACAGACATATGTTGAAGAGTTGCAGATATTTATATAACCAGTTGTTTGCACATGAGCAACGATGTCAACTAGAACGTGCGTATTAGCAACAACGGAAGCTGATATGAAGCGCTGATGCTCGCAAAGATGCTGGTCCTGGACACTGCTACATAAATCTACTTTAGTGCAAGGCACCTAACCACAATTGATGTTAACCCGATGTGACGGCTGTATCAAAAAGTACATATATATAGTTCATAAAAATTGGGTAGGCAGCACTGAAACTACTATTGACGTTTCACGGAGAGAGATGTGCGTCTATTTGAAAAGTAGTCATACGACTTGGCGTATATAGCTCTGTGTTAAAATGCTTGACTGCAACGCAGAATGCTTGGGCGTGATTGCAGCTGGGACCCTAACATTTAAACTTTGTATTCGTCGGGGGGTCAACAGTGCCTATGTCAGGTATTCCTTAACACTGCCAATTATTCTATTCTTCAATTGGGTCGATGCTACCGATGTCGGGTATTGCTTAACGGTCACGCGTTGAAATTGCCCATGTGTGTTCTCAACCTTCCTGGAGAGATACTAAGTGTCAATCACCTATGTCACATACCCGCATACGAGTGGCACATACCCGCTCGTGGGTGTGTGCCACTGTCTGGCGATAAGTGTTCGACGACGTACGCGACAAGATAGTGACATTATTCATGTGTTGACCAGCGTGTCATATTCGTCAATCCATCTTACCCTCGTATGCTACTTTTGGTTCACGCCAAGTTAAGGGGTGACCACGAGAGCATTCAAACGTAAATGACTGGATAGATAGATAGATAGATAGATAGATAGATAGATAGATAGATAGATAGATAGATAGATAGATAGATAGATAGATAGATAGATAGATAGATAGATAAGGTCAAATTCACCAAAGTTCACTAAGAAATGCTTCGTTTTTAAAAGCCTTGTCACTTGTGTGATCTCCTGAAATCTCAACATAGAAAGGCCATGTGCTCGTTCCCAATCACGGAAGAAATGAAGTTAACCACTTTGTGTCTGCTTTGCAGATCACCGCTTCATCTGCAACAATCTGCAATTTGTCCTCTTAAGATCAGACCTGTCTGGTTCTTGGCTGCAGTCAGCTCTTGCATCAATCTCATTTCACGCTGCATGTTTTCGACACACAACTCTAACTGCCTGTGGCCGAGCTCTGTAAGCGCACGCCGTCCACGTCTGCTCAATTTACCCAACGCCGTTGTCAGTTAGGCGCCCTTTCTTTTCGATGAAATCTGGTTTTAGTGTTTCTTGTTTGCTTAGGTGCCATAGCGTAATGTAAAATGACAAAAAAGCTGTTGTAAGCTTCCCCCACATAATGAATAATAGACTAAAGTATTCATTTTTCCAGTCATAAAGCATAAGGGACTCGACTGGAGACGCAAGTAAAAGGCGCAGAGGTGGAATGTCTTGCGAAGGTATGATGAAAAAGTCGCGCAGATGGTATGCCCAAAAATACAGTAACACAGTAGGAACGAGCAGAGAGAGACTTCCTCTAGCGCATACCAAATTTACCTTGAAGTTTGAATGAACTTGCCCGTTTCAGTTATATGGAATATAAAAGTCGTGTCTCTAACAGAAGTTCCTGATTTGATTCTCTTAGAAATGCGTAATATTCATTAAGGAACTATAGGCACTTTCAGCATTTCTGTCAAGGTATTTATCTATATACGTATTTAGCCGTCTACCTCTGGGTGGTCTCGAGGTCATCTTCTTAGGTTGGTATTGGCCAAACTTTGCATAGTGGGCAGGTTGGTAGACGAAGATGACTACAAAACCATAGCATGAACAACTCCAAAATCCTAGCATGTGCTGGCCTAAACTTTTTTCTTCAATCACCAGCGTTCTGTAACTCTTTACCATGGGCCATAATGTGCGGATATACGCCACTGGTGATTGACAGCTTATACTTAACGAGGAAGAATATAAATCCGCATCATCCCTGTTGACACGCTGAATGAAAAGAATCATGGCAGAAATAAAACGCAGGCATTCGACTTGTCAAAATGGCTCATTAGACGAGTTGGAAATCTATTATGTCTTGAAATACAAGCGCTAAACGTAGACAAGGACAGCCAATACATATATATTTCTGTGTCTCACTGTCTTAGCTGTCTGTCTACGTGTCGCACTCGTATTTACAGCAGGCATTCGGCGGGCCAATCAAGTATTCTATCACAAATCCAGGCTAGGTCTTGAAAATATTTTATAAAAATGCCTTGTGCAAGTCGGTGCAACATAACCTGTGGTTGCAATGCTGGCTATCATGTTTTACAGAATCGCAAATACGTTACTTATGTACTCTCACTATACCCACTATACAGACACGACGTCGGCTTGTTCTGCGCTGCAGCAATACACTAAGGCTAGCTACCTTGTGGCTATAATATGCGGAATTATTTATGTAATGCTTCGAACCCTAGCAACATGGAAAGATAATGATACTGAAACATGTGTATAATTGCTATTAAAACAGAGGCGTTTGCTCTAACATGACTGCTGATGAATTGGAAAAAAGATAAGCATATATTAAAACGCCAGCGAGCTCCACCTGCATGGTGCACCCGCAATGTGTGGATCTATCCTTCTCTTGGGAAAGTACGTTGATCTACACATTAACGCTTCAGCACAAGGGAAAAAAAATGAAGCATAAGAAAGTACTTGTTGACTCCTTCGACGGAGCCGAGTCCCGTAATTCGACTGAGTTGTCGATAGATCGCTAGGACAACTGCAATGCAATAAACATAAATTAATTATTAATTTGAAATATAGATCCTTTACGGTCACTTCAAACAAGCCCACACATCCGGCAGCATTGAAAACGGTAGTACGAGCAATTGAGAGAAATCATTGTAGTGAGGAGTAATGCTGATTTCAGAAATTGAGCAGGAAAATTGTAAAAAGGCATTCATCGTAGACAATGCATATATCACGCAAAAAGAGCTCCTTTTTAATAACGGGGTTCTGCTACACTTTTCTAGAATGGTCAGAAAACGCTGTCGATAGGTAGCAGAGGCACCCGACAACACGCCAACCAAATAATATAGCACAGCACGCGGCCTGGAATTCACAATAAATTATCAAAATCAGCTAAAACTGATTTCTCTTCTCTCGACAAATCGCGTAATATTCCCAAAAATTACACGTAAACGACCCATCCAACAGCCACTGGCTGACTTGAACAAGGTGCGCTTGCTCGTTACAGAGATCGCCGCGGGAGCCCGCTGCTTGTACACTCGTGCACTTGCGATCACACTGAGAAAGCCGCGCATTCAATAAGAAAAAAGAAAAAAAAGAAAAAAAAGTGCTCAAGGTCGTGAAGTGCGCGTAACGTTTTTCTGTGGCCTTGTCAACCATCCCTGTTTAGCGTCCAGCGCTTTCGTCGGGATGAGAGAAGAGAAAATGCAATAGCAGCATGCGACAAATCTTTGTAACTCCACTCGAACTGGACGCATTTTTCAATTTTTTGCGGCGTCGAATTAGTGAGGCAATAAACTCTTTCAGTGAATTCATTCTATGGTTACTTGAAAAAGTGACTCAGGGTCTCTTTAACAATTTGTGTGGACGAGGCTTGATGATGTTGAGCATTTCACAGATCTAAGACCACAGTGACGCCTACAAAATGAGAAACGTCAGCTTGCGGATTTGCGACGACGTTTATTCTAGTCCTCGTTGATTTATTAAGGCTTAGGCATTTGTTCTTGTCATCTTGTTTGGAAGTAAAATTGAAAATTGTTCTATAACCTGTTTGTCTTGCCGTATTACACATTTATCTATGTTTGAGTTACACCTAGAGGTGTCGTATAAACCACTCCGTAATTACTTCTAACAAATCACAAACACTACGCTAAGACACTACACTCTACATTCTTACAGAATATATTTATGAATGTCACCATGCTACTTTATTCAGCTTATAAGATTATTTTCTTGCACAGTCTTATTAGCAAATTAAAAATGTTTTTAATTTCAGTCTTATCATATGCTTATTTTCCGGTTTCCTGAAAAAGCTTGCTTTTAGTTTATATATTGCCCATTGAATTGCCACACCTACTGCTTCATGTTGTTTCGTTTATTGTTTTTCATTGTTATAGCGAAACTCCACACAACGCCCATCCCTCAGAACACCTTTGTAATAAAAACAAAAACACACTTTGGCGCTTTGTTAATAATGTCTATATATGAACTTCTAGTGCCCAAAGCAATGAAATGTATTATGCAACAAAACTATTGTTGAAACGATGACAAGCATACTGGCTGGATAACCCCTGTAGATATTGGTAGGGTCTTCTTTTGCAATTTATGCGTGCGTCTGAGAAACCTTAGCTTCGTGTCTCTCAGTTCTGGTGACGGACCAAAGGGGGTCATGATGATTGGCTTGTTGTCTTCGAGAAGTATATGGAACTGCTGCAGAAGCGTAGTCAGGTATAAGAACATCTCTACCATCGCCATGTTCTCTCCCGGGCACGTCCTTCTCCCTGAACAAAAATTTCGTTAAGAAGGCATTATTTCACCTCAGACTAATTGATGTTCAGGCTAAAGCTTGTAATGTATATTACTCGCGGTGACCGGTGTCCGTTCTGCCCCCTAGCACGGTGCCAGCTGCGGCATCCCCATTCACAAGGGAGGATAGACGAGCTTTATGAGCTCTGAATGGTACGTGGTAGCTGCACGATCCGCAAAACGAGAGAATGCGAACGCATACGAAAACAGAGGCAAATTAGGCTGGCTTCTCTCTGTGAATAGCATAATAAATATAAAAGGACATACGCACACATTTCATTTGTTTGTTGTCTCACTGGACTGCAAGAGAGAAAATTACATCGTTTCCTCTGTGGACTGGCGTCAAGCTTTCGCCGAACACGGTGTAGAATTTACAGTGTTCATTTTTTATCATTCCAACTGACGGATTATTACGATATCTAATGGAACTTAGATATAAATACTGTAATTCTTCATGCATCTTTATCTGTTTTTTATTGTGATATTTTTGTCTTTTGCTTTAGTTATCGAAGTAAATAAAAGTGGCTACAAAAAGAAAGTTGTGAATGCTTCGCCCTTGCGACAAGACTATCAGCTATTTTATTATTGTAGTTATGTATTGAATGTTTATTGAGATAAATACGGCCCTACCTGCGCCATCGTGAGTTTTAATGGCACTTCGGTAGTCTCTTATGCCAATTTGAGAGTTGGAAGTTCAGTGCGTATTCAACTGTCTCCAATATATATGTTGCTGTTGCGAGGCGTATCTCTATCATAAAGATTGTCCGCATCTTCCTCTATCGCACCTAGTACGACTTTCTGCGAAAAAATGACTTGCATCAACGTAGCAGGCATGTGTTTATGCAGGACACACAATACGCCTCGTTGCACTGAACAGCACGCACTATCTAACGAAATCACGTTAAAAAAAGAGTGAGTTTAAAAACAGCGTGACTCGAGAAATTTTTTAAATGCGAAGCATTTCTTAACGAACTTCATCGACTGTGAGCGTATCTATCTATTTAGCCGCCCACGAATTTTAGCTCCCCTGGCCATTTCGATAATGATATCGATACCAAACTTGGTATCGCATAACATGACTGCACGAAGAACATATTTGAGTTGCCATAACATGAAAATCATAAGTTGTTTATCATTAATGTAATGATTTACAATTTTTGGTCCTGCAGCTCTTGCAGTGGTTTCGTTCACATGACATGTTGCGAAACTGGTCTGGTATGCAATAATTTCATGGCGAACACAAACGACATACCCTAAGTGAGAATCATGACATGCGTGTCATATAACAACATGAATACATCCACGCTCATGATGCTCTCACGGCTGTTTCGCTAACTTCTCTTATACCCAATTGGGTATTACGGTACCTGAATGGATGATGAAGGTTTGTGACTGGTGCAACCATTAAAATCATGAGATGCGTGTCATGTAACAATTTGACTATATGCAACGGTCATGATGCGCTCGTGGCAGTTTCGCTAGCTTCACATGTACCAAACTCGGTATTACGTGACGCGAACGCGCAGCATAGATATATACACATCCAAACAGGATAATCACGACATGCGTATTATGTCACAACATGACTACATGCCACAGTGATGATGCGCTCGAAGCCGTTTCACTAGCTTCATATATCCCAAATTTGGTACTACCTGGAGCCAATCAATGACGGAGGTATGTGACTGGTGCACACATGATAATCATGAGATGCGTGTCATGTGAGAACATGACTAATTGTCATAGTCAAGGCGCCAATAAATTTTGACCTGACGCGGTGCGTGTGCTCGCCGGCGTTCATTTCGTCGCGTCACTCCGGCGTCTCCTCGCCAGGCACCGGTCCTGCCAAACAGTTGCAAGCAAGCGCCTCGCTGCGTTGCTTTGACGCACGCGCGTTTTAGCGTGTCCGGCGTCTCTCCTTCACCAAAACTCCCAAGCATTACCCCGAGGGTGAACTTGGTTAAGTGCGAATACACGGGGTGATGCTATGAGGGGTATTTATTAATTCGCACCATTATATTTAAAAATCACACTATGGTGCTTTTATGGTGTAATGGTTCCTGGGAATCGCAATTTGATCACACGGGGGAGTTTACGTTAACTCACTGGCGAATGCCAACGGATTTTAACTTTACTCCCCCTCACGACCCGCTCTTGACGGGAGACTGAGAGAGAAGGCGGGCGCGCGAGAGAGAGGGGTGCGCGCGCAGCTGCAGCGAGCGAGGAGAGCGGAGGAGCGAGCGAAGGGGGAGGGGGTATAAGGCGCGTTACTGACACCGATATCAGCGTCGCGTCCGTGGCTTATTCGGTAGAGCGTCGCGCTGCGGCCCGCCAAGTCCTCTTTATTTTAAAGATAGAGAGAAGACTGTGGACGCCGCCGATGGCGGTGGATGGTTTGGGGTCGCTTATAAAGTGTATTCACACTTAAAAGAGGGAGACGCAGTGTTGTCTGGGTAACGCATCGGTGCGAAATGCAGCATGTCGCAATTCACGCCGGGTGCCGTCGGGTCGCGCCTCGTGTCAAGACTATAGAGTGCTCGCGTTTTGCTAATGTAGTGTCCCTGTGCGCAGCGTGTGCTCGCGCCAACGCTACATTGGAGTATATTGGGCCCTTCTTGACGCCTTCGCGGCAGTTCCGCAAGCTCCAGATACCAAATTTGGTGTTACGTGACGTAAATGGATGACGAAATATATGACTGGTGCAAGAGTAATAATCCTAACCGGCGTGTCATGGAAGAACATGACAACATACCACGCTCATAGTGCGCTCACGGTCGTTTCGCTGGCTATACACGTATAACAAATTTGGTATCACATGACGTGCATACATGAAGAATGTAAACGGCACATCCAAACATAATAATCATGACCCGGAAGCGACACACGGCATCATTTACCTCGACCTCATAACGTTGTGCTGATTTTAAAGTGACATATCAACATTTTTAATTCGTGCTTCGCATATCATCGATTCCCAATGTACTTGGGATCTGCCAATACTTTAGTCCTTAGGTTGTCCAGAATAAGAAAGCCTTGAGTGCGCTATATCGCCAATATTTCTGACTTGCAACGCAGCAATATATTTATGATATTTAGCTTCTGTCGCAGTTAGCATGATCGCGAATTTACGAAAATGCACTTTTCGTAAAACGGACGTCGTCGGCCGGAGATGCTTCTCAATATCTCCTTGGTTTAATTTTTAGATGCGAAGCATTTATGAGCGAACTTCGGTGACTTCGAGCCTATCTATCTATCTATCTATCTATCTATCTATCTATCTATCTATCTATCTATCTATCTATCTATCTATCTATCTATCTATCTATCTATCTATCTATCTATCTATCTATCTATCTATCTATCTATTCACCTACGACTTTTAGCTCTCTTCGCCGTTTCGATAATGTTATCGATACCAAACTTGGTATGGCATAACATAACTGCATGAAGAACATATCTGAATTGTCATAACATGAAAATCATGATATTTATATCATGAATGTGATGATTTACAAGTCATGGTCCTGCAGCCCTTGCGGTGGTTTCGTTCACAGGGCATGTTGCAAAACTACTATTGGATTGGATTGGATAAACTTTTATTTGGTCCTCCAAAACAAAGATCACTGTGCTGCGGGCAGCTCCCACGTGGGGTCTGAGATGCCAAGCTCCTCAGCCGCCTCGCGGGCTTGGTGGACAGCCCAGAGCTGATCTGCCAAGGATGAGCTGCGGATTGCCGCCTCCCATCTGGCAGAGGTGATGTTCGATATATGAGCAAATTTGGTGCACTGCCAGAGCATGTGTTCTAATGAAGCTATTTCCCCACAATGTGGACAAAGATTACTTGGGTATAGGTCAGGGTACATGATGTGTAACATTTTCAAAGTAGGGTACATCCGCGTTTGCGAAAGCCTTAATGTAAGTGTTTGGGGCCGGGTTAGATTTTTGTGAGGTGGAGGGAAAATCCTTCTAGACAAGTAGAAATGTTTAGTGAGCTCGTTATATGTTGTAAGAATTTCCCGTTTATCCCCTTCACCTGTAGAACGCATCCCCGGGAAGGCGCGGTCGGAGAGTTCTCGCGCCGCCTCGTGTGCTGCTTCATTGAGATTGGGAGGGGAATTGTTGATTAGCCCAAGGTGAGCTGGGAACCAACTCAGAAGATGATGCGTTATGTTCTTGCCTTGCAGTATTCTCAGCGTTTGTTCAGAGACCGTCCCCTTGGCGAACACCCGTAGTGCTGTCATGGAATCACTGTAGACGACTTCAATGTTATCCATCTTGAGTGCTAAGGCGATGGCCACCTGTTCCACAATGATTGGGTCTTTCGTCTTGACCGTCGCTGAGTTGACGACATGGCCAGCCCCATCGACCACCACTGCCACAAATGCTTTCCCATTGGCGTAGGAAGCCGCGTCAACAAATACGACCCCTCGTTCCTCGTTTGAGACTTGACGAAGTATAGTCCTGGCCCTCGCTACTCTTCTTCCGACGTTGTGTTCTGGATGCATGTTTCTTGGTATAGGAGACACCGTGATATTCTCCCTGATGTTGTCGAGGATATCATTGTAATTGTGCCTGATTGCCATTGGGTGTTGGCCCAGCTCCTGCAGGATCATTCTCTCCGACCTTGTTGTAGATAACCTTGCAAACTGTGCTCTCTCTTGGGCTTCTGCTATTTCTTCGAGCGTGTTGTGAATGCCAAGCTCAAGCAGACGCTCCGTGCTAGTATGTATGGGTAGGCCCAGGACCTTCTTGATAACTTTCCTGAGGAGCACATTCAGTGTCTCGGACTCTGCTCTTGACCAGTTGTGCATTGCTGCCTCGTACGTGAAGTGGCTTAGAACAAACGCATGCATCAACCTGATGAGGTTGTCTTCCTTGATCCCATTTCTTTTGTTGGCCACTCTGCGAATGAGGTGCACCGCACTGTCTGTTTTCCAAGTTAACTTCGCTATAGATTTGCTGTTAGTGCCGGTAG